TAAGAACAAAACTAATAATTAACAAAAAACTAGAAAGAAAAAGAATACATGAAAAAAGATACAAATGGACATCTGAAGAAATCAAAAATAGTGAATTTAATAAAAAGATAGCGCATGCATTAAATCAAGTTAGCATGCAGCAGATAAACTCCAATGATATTGATGATTTGAATAACCTTATTACCGAAACAGTGAATAAAAGCCTTCTGCAACTGAAAAAACCAAAAACAACATACAATGAATTAGACAAAGAAATATTACAACAAATAAAAAGAAGGAAGATCTTAAATAAATCTAACAAAAGGGGAACCGACGAATATAGAGAACTTAATAGGCAGATTAGAAAAGGAATCAGACAACAAAAAAGAAAAGAAAACGAAAAATTAATAACAACAGCTATTGAAAAAAATAAGAGTATGAAATGCCTCAGACCGACACTAGGACGACGTCAGATGATATCATTAATGGGAAAAGACGAAAATGAAATCACAACTAGAGAAAACATACTGACACGAATAGAAGAATTTTACACAGAACTTTACAGAACACATCAACAAGATGATGAGATGAGACCAGCACGGAAATTAATAAAAAATGTTGGATCAGAAATAATGCCAAAAGTAACAATTTCAGAGGTAACTACAGCATTGGAAAACATGAAGAGAAATAAAGCTGCAGGAGAAGATAGTATTACCACAGATATGATATTAGAAGGAGGTATGGAACTAATTGCAATTGTAGCTAAGCTTGTGGACAGTTGTTTACATCAGGGCAAAGTCCCTAAGAGCTGGAACAACTCTAAAGTAATATTATTGCACAAGAAAGGTGATAGTCAAAAATTGGAAAACTACAGACCCATCAGCCTACTGTCACACCTGTTTAAAATACTCACCAAAGTCATAACTACTCGACTAACAAGGAAATTCAGTGCTGATCAGGCGATCAGCACGGACGGCAACGCACCGCAGACAGAGCTCTTCCTACGGTCCGTGACAGTCTGTGTAGGTCCGTGACAGTAGTGTTTAATTATATCATAAAAAGGCCACTCAGGCTTGTAAACATCATCAGCCCCACTACCAGTTCCCATCGATTCTCTAACTTTTGTTTTTTGCCTTCTGTATGTCGACATTAAATTATCTCTCTTCTTTTTTAATTCTTTAATCGAAATAGTAATATTCTTCAATTGATTTTTTTATTCGGTTCCATGCATCGTATGCATCGTTCCGGTTCTTATGTTCTGGCGCCGTGGAATTCCATAAACTTCGTTCATCTTGATACAAATTTAAAAAATTAAAAACAACTTCGTTTGTCCGTTCCATTTTTCAGCAAAAAACTGCAAAACAACTTTGACAACACTACAGACAACTACTCGTGTCAGCGAATGAAAAACTTCTGACTTGCACTTGTCGTCTGTTAAAACACAGACGCGCTAGGATCGCGTCGCACGAGCATGTACCGCACCTTTGATGTTACCGACTCTAGATGGATAGGACGCACCAGCACGGACCAGCACGGACGAGACCCTTCCCACGGTGCGTGGTGCGTGCTGGTCCGCTTACGTCCGCAATATCGCCGACCGTGGGAAGCCGCTATATATAAGCCGAGACGTATGGTAAGCCTATGTATTATTTTCTATACAGGATATCTCTCACCAAAAACACGGCTAGTTCTGGATACTATTCTGTTACACTCACCGTAAATTAGAATTAAATTTAAAAAATCATCATTTGTATATCCTAAATAAGTAATTATTATTTTGTCAAGAAAATTAGGCAAATTATTATTATAACTGTCACCCAATCGCATACAACAAGGTTACTATTAATCATTAACAATAACTAATATTTTTGAAGAATATTCCATAGGCTACTTGATAAATAAATTTTTGTGACAAAAATGTATAAAGTTAATTTATTTAAAAACTGCGAGAGATAGGTATAGGGAATACTAATACAGATCGATATTGAAAAACATATTTTTTTATATAATTGATGGATTCGACCGTAACTTGATGGAAATTCATTTTATGTAACAATAAAACACTGAAAACTTTGTTTTCAAACTTCCACAAAATTTATTTTAACTTATCACTACAGCTGTTTCGGCTGATTGCCTTTCTCAAGTGATCTATTTTTGGCATGCGTTTACATTTTATAGTCTCTAATGAAATAGGTTGAGGAGGGGAGAACTGTTTGTCTCAAGTTGGTCATTCAGAATTATATCTGTGTTTTTTTAATTTGTTGATTTCCATAGATTCTAACAAGGATAGCTTAAGGCCTTTATTTTGAATGTGAAGAATTTTAAATTCGTCATTAAAAGAATGATTGTGATCTAGAAGGTGAAGTGCGTATGTAGAATCTGTTTTTCTATTATTGAAAGCCCTTTTATGTTCTGCTATTCGTTTATTAAAGTTTCTACCAGTTTGACCGATGTAAGTTTTTGGGCAGTCGCCACATTTAAGTTTGTACACACTACTGTGTAAGTGTTTTTTATTTTGGCTCTTGTTGTTTTTGATATATTTGCCTAGGTTGTTATTTGTTCGAAAAGCTGGTGTTATTCCTTTCTTTTTTATGTGTTTGGCTATTTTAGTTGATATTTTGCCTGTATATGTAATCGAGCAGAAGGTACTGGGCTTTTTCTCTGGTGGTGGAAATACTAATACTAACAAATTAAGCTAGCAGAAAATACTGAAGAGAACAGAAATACCTCAATATCATGAACCCACAGCCTCCTAAATTATACTCTTTATAAGAGTATAATATCAACTAAAATAGCCAAACACATAAAAAAGAAAGGAATAACACCAGCTTTTCAAACAAATAAAAACCTAGGCAAATATATCAAAAACAATAAAAGCCAAAATAAAAAACACTTACACAGTGTTATGTACAAATTTAAATGTGGCGATTGCCCAAAAACTTACATCGGCCAAACTGGTAGAAACTTTAATAAACAAATAGCAGAACATAAAAGGGCTTTCAATAATAGAAAAACAGATTCTACATACGCACTTCACCTTCTAGATCACAATCATTCTTTTAATGACGAATTTAAAATTCTTCACATTCAAAATAAAGGCCTTAAGCTATCCTTGTTAGAATCTATGGAAATCAACAAATTAAAAAACACAGATTTAATTCTGAATGACCAACTTGAGACAAACAGTTCTCCCCTCCTCAACCTATTTCATTAGAGACTATAAAGTGTAAACGCATGCCAAAAATAGATCACTTGAGAAAGGCAATCAGCCGAAACAGCTGTAGTGATAAAGTTTAAAATAAATTTTGTGGAAGTTTGAAAACAAAGTTTTCAGTGTTTTATTGTTACATATTTTTTTTTAATATTGAATCACGTGCAAGTTCGGAACAGCGACACCTGGTGTCGTAAATCAGCAAAATTTACTGCGCTTTCATGTTAGATCGAGGTTACCGGATAACTGTCAAGGACGTAGCCCCAAAAAAGAATAAGAAGAAAAAGTAAGATTGAGGTTATGTCGGTATGTTATTAAAAGGTAAACGTTGTATGTAGTGTAAATACAAATAAATATATTATTAAATTACAGCATTACTGTTAATATGGATGCAATAATAAAAACTGGATTTGAGAAAGTAAATCACCAAATAACTTTTCAACCAAGCACTGAGTCAAAGGGAAAAGCTTTAGTAGTGGCAAATGTCAAAAAAGAATGGAAGAATTATGTGGAAGAATTAAGAAAAATAAATTACCATAAATAATGCTAATGCATAAATGCATAAATTAGCAGGTTAAGCCCATGATATCATCATATTGGTTTGAACAATTAATTATTTCCCTGTAAACTTTTGGACAGCGAATATATCTTAATGCATCTTCAGAAAAACTTGAACTTGATGCATTTTTGTAAACTTCAAAAAAATAAAATTTAAACATTAAACTTGATTTTTGGGTTAAAATGAACTCTAAGTGAGTGTTATGAAACTAAAATTTACACTTAAAAGTGAACTTTTATTTATTATTTATTTCAAACTGACTTTAAAATCGGGCGCAAGAATAATGCATAATTTAGGTTATGTTACTTATGCTTTTTTATGATATAAATCCACTTTTCTCTTTGTAGTAGCTTTGTGCTTCGAAGTTGGAAACGAATAAAACTTAAATTGACAATTTTTTGTTGTATTTTTACAATTTATAACACAGCATTTCCTAAATCCCATTTTCTTCAGTGACAGAAGGTGTAAGTAAACAAACGAATATGAAATATGACAATTGACAATATGAATTTATGAAACTATGAAATGTGCAGTAAAAAATGCAAGATTTCTCCGCTACTCGCGCACGATCGTTTCTCGTATAACCTCCAAGTACTTGCACGTCGCCAATAGGTATAGGGAAGTATTAACAAAAAATCTTCAGAATAACATGAATATTTCTAAAATTAAAAAATATACAGGGTGTCTCATTAAAAAAGCAAGTCATATAGTCATAACAAATTTCTGGTATAACCGGAAGTAGCAAATAGATGGAAATATTTTCATTAAATAGGTCACTCTTCAAAACCCCTTCATTCCAATTTTTATAATACAGTTACCTTTGGTTTTTGAGATATTTGTAATTGGCCGTTTATCTGCCGCACCCTGTATATATATATATGTAGTATTTTAATGAAAATGAACGTTCATAATAAAACATCAGAGTTTTTATTTCATAAAAATTTGGCCAATAACCACCGAGTAAAGTCAAAATGAAAAAAGTGGACCATCTAACCCGGAATTACCCCATAACAGTTATTTTCCATACGTATTAAATGTATTAAACAAATACAGCTCATACTTTGCATCTATAACAACATTCTGTATTATATAATAACTATCTATTTTTGTCATAAATCCAGCTGTTATTTAAATATTTTTATTATTAGGCTACAACAACCTGTTCTCCAAGAATTTCCCTCCCGACATCGGCAACGCTGGGCACACTTTGGAACGGTGGCAGCTCGAGAACTTGAACTCTAGCTATCGTGGGTTGCCTCCGACCACACATATCGCGAATCCGCACCGTTCGCTCGTTTTCTTGACGAATTTCCTCAAAAGAAAAACCGACGCGTCGCTTGTAGGAAGACCGCAAAAATTCGTTACCATGCACCGGAATTGTTAGTATGATGAAGTTTGTGGTGTCCAAATGTGCGACCAAATATACAAAGTGTTTCCTTAAAAACAGCCAATATGGGTCAGATTGTTTTGATAGGGTTCATGTGTTGGAAACATAAATTAAAGTTGATACTATGTCTGCTATGAAAAAAGGATCGTCCAAACGATTCGAGTGAGTACAGATTTTTTTAGCGTTATAAAATAAACAAAGGAAGCTGTCCCATCTAGATCATGGTACCTTGTTTGAAGTCAATTTTATAAATATTTTACAGAACTTAAAACTTTTTATAGCTCAAAACCTACAATTATTAACAAAAAATTGCATTGTAAACTAAATTACATATATCTGAAATTTCTAGGTTTTTAAATTTAAATGTTAACCTCTTTTAGTAATAATAGAATATTATTATGTATCTTATTTAATTTGTAATAACATAAAAATATTGATAAATTAACAGTTGAACGTGGTAAATGTTTCAAAGTCTACTTCCAAATCATCTACAAATATTGTTTTGCTTATTTTTCAAAATAGTTTTTGACAGAGTAAATCACTTATTTATATTTGTGTGTGTTTAAATAATTTCAAAAATAAGTCGTAATATTCAAAAGTCAAAACATATAAAATAGTCCAAAGCTAGTGTTAATTTTTTTTGCCTTGTATTACGAAAAGATAGTACAGAATATAGAAAAAGGACAAGAAGTAACATCCCCTAAATATAACCTAGAAAGCTTAAAAGAAGATTCAACGAAATTTTTTTACAAATTACGACTGGCCACAAAACTACAAAATGTGGATCGAGAAAATATATCAGCGGAAGAATTATACCAGCAACTTAAAAAATGCATTCATGAGGCTGCAAGTGAAGCTTTGGGTTATAAAGACAAACATAAAACAAAAAATCAAGAATGGTGGTCGGAGAATATGCAAACGTTAGTCAACAAGAAGAAAACTGCTTATCAGAAATGGATGTCAACGAGAAATAAGGAAGATTACAAGATATATCAAAAATTAAATCGAGATGTAAAAAGAGAAGTAGTGAAAAGTAAAAATGAGATGTGGGATCGAAGATGTGCAGAGGTGGATAGGTATATGGGTGGAACAAGAGTTGGGCAAGCTTGGAAGGTGATAAAGTCTCTCCGGAGAGAAGGAAAGGAAAAATTTAACTTACAGTTAATAGATCTGAAACAGTGGAAACACCATTATGAGGTCTTACTGACAGAGGATAGATGTAAATTCCAAGAGATCGAAATGGAAGAAATATCCGAATACACACAAATAATTGAGATAACAACCGGAGAGTTAAACGATGCCCTCAAAAGATCGAAAAATGGTAAAGCAGCAGGACCTGGAGACATTCCAATTGAGTTGGTAAAGTATGGACCAAAAATATTACATGAGATGTTGGTTCAACTATTTAACAAATGCTTAAAAGGACAAAATATCCCTGATGATTGGAATATTGGATACATCAGCTCAATATTCAAGAAAGGGGATAAACGCAAATGCTCTAATTATAGGGGAATAACTGTTACCAGCTCAGTGGGGAGGTTGTACGGTCGAATAATAAAAGAAAGAATAGAATCAGAATACGAAAGACATAGAAGAACAAAATGGATTTCGTGCAGGAAGATCGTGCACTGATGGTATATTCGTTCTGCAGCAGGTAATCGAAAAACGGAAGGCAAGGAATCTATCTACCCACCTACTGTTTGTAGATTTAGAGAAGGCATATGATACGGTACCTTTGAAAAAACTGTTTCAAACATTGACGAAAGTAGGTCTCAGTAGAGAGTATGTGAATGCTATTGCAAATATATACAAAAATGCAAGAAGTGTCGTTAAAGAAGGAACCTTATTTAAAATATATATTTAATCATCGCTAGAGCAGTGGAGGAAACAAGTATCCGGAATGGGAATAGACAAAGGCGATGGTAAATGTCTAACAACTTTATTTTTAGCAGATGATTAGGTAGTCAAAGCGAATGCTGAGGAAAACATGGACTACATGTTTAGAAAACTAAAGAAAGAATATGAAAAGTGGGGCCTCAATATGAATGTGTCAAAGGCAGAGTATCTTAAAATAGGAGATGACGAAGAAGATCCAGAGTTAGAAATTTCAAACACAAAAACATGCAATGAATATAAATATCTCGGATCTATAATATCTAAGGAAGGCACTACCAAAAGAGACATCATGACATCAAAACAGGACGCAGCAGGGAAAAAAGCGGTTAACATTCTGAACTCTCTACTATGGTCTAAAGATATTAGAGAAGAAACAAAACTGACAATCTGTCGAACCTTGGTAGAGCCTATTATCAAAAGACTGATATTTTTTGTACACACTTATGACAAGTCGAAAGAAAATGCAAAAAAGTATTTTTGAAGTGTGTATATTTTAGGCAATTCCTAGCTGAGCGCTTTCGGCTTTACAAAGCCATCATCAGAGCTATGCTACAATAAAATGTTCTAATAAGTACTAATTGGTAAAGATTGTAATTTTTAACTTACGTCAATTTTTAAATACCACTACAAAGGAGAGATCTCATTTCCTTAAGTTTCACAATTATGATTTTGTAGGAGTTGGAATTTTTAAAACATATAAAAAACATATAAAAGGTCGACACTGGACGTCACAAACACGTTAAAAAATTGAAAAATTTTTTTGTCATGGTACGGGTTTAAGACCCGACCATCTATTGATGTGAGGATGTAGACTGAATAGAACTAGTGAAATCAAATGTCGGTCCTTTTAAACGATTTTTCAAAAGTGACAGGTGACAAATGTCATATATAGGAAATAGAGATTGTTTTTTAAATTCTTACAAAATTATTTAGTAGTTTGGAATTACTACTAGTCATCAAAGACTTTCTAAAAATTAAGTTTTTAAAATTAAATTTTATGTGTTCATCACATCATACAGAATGACATTAATTTGTAAATTCACTCAAGTCATTGCTCAAGGTCAATGTATGTTCAATCTGACAGCTATCCTTAAGGAACAAGGGCTCAAATTGTTCAACAACACTATAAAGAAGAAACCTGGTATTAATGTTATGTTATCTGATACTTAAGTGTATTAAGAATTGTATGTCTTGATGGAAAATTGTAAGAACTTTGCATAAAAAATTTTTTTAAGAATGTATTTTCATGTTTCAATTAAGAACAACTGTCAAATGAATTACAAAATGTTGTAAATTTTAATAAAGTTTAAAATTTGTTTAAAAAATAAAAGTATGAAAAATATATAACAAGATTGCATGAGGTCACCCTTCTTCCTCTAAAGTCTCCCATAATAATTTAAAAAGAGGTTTATAGTTGCAATTGAGGTTGATTTGTGTGTTTAAGCAACAATCAGGGTTTATTTTCATTTCTTTGGATATCTCTAGATCTTCCAAGAGATTCATGAGTCTAAAGTTTTTATTAGGAATGTTGTGTAAAATTTTACTGTTTTCAGAAGGAGAAAAAGAATGATTATTAAATTTAATGTGATATCCAAAGTTTGATTTTTCTGGGTTATTGAGGTGTTCTTTGATTCTTTGATTCAGAGTTCTCATTGTTCTACCTACATAAGTCATATTACAATCACCACAGGAAAGCTTGTAAATACCACTTCTGTTTAGTTTGTCAACTTTGTCTTTGGTCTTGCTGAAGATGGACTTGATGTTATATTTGGTTTTAAAGGAGATGTTTAAGTCATTAATTTTATTAACAAGTACTCTTGAAATTTTTTCTGAAATTGGTCCTAAGTAAGTTAAGGATCTATATATGGAAGTAGTGTTGGATTTGTTATCAACATTAAAAGCTTGGTTTAGTCTCTTTTTGAGTATAGATTTTCTAATGACTTTATCAACAGTAGTAGAAGGAAAACCATTGTTGTTTGCTATCTGTTTAATGATGGAGATTTCTTTATTGTAATTTTCTTGAGACATAGGGACATATGTCCACAGACTTCTTAATATCCCTATGTCTCAAGAAAATTACAATAAAGAAATCTCCATCATTAAACAGATAGCAAACAACAATGGTTTTCCTTCTACTACTGTTGATAAAGTCATTAGAAAATCTATACTCAAAAAGAGACTAAACCAAGCTTTTAATGTTGATAACAAATCCAACACTACTTCCATATATAGATCCTTAACTTACTTAGGACCAATTTCAGAAAAAATTTCAAGAGTACTTGTTAATAAAATTAATGACTTAAACATCTCCTTTAAAACCAAATATAACATCAAGTCCATCTTCAGCAAGACCAAAGACAAAGTTGACAAACTAAACAGAAGTGGTATTTACAAGCTTTCCTGTGGTGATTGTAATATGACTTATGTAGGTAGAACAATGAGAACTCTGAATCAAAGAATCAAAGAACACCTCAATAACCCAGAAAAATCAAACTTTGGATATCACATTAAATTTAATAATCATTCTTTTTCTCCTTCTGAAAACAGTAAAATTTTACACAACATTCCTAATAAAAACTTTAGACTCATGAATCTCTTGGAAGATCTAGAGATATCCAAAGAAATGAAAATAAACCCTGATTGTTGCTTAAACACACAAATCAACCTCAATTGCAACTATAAACCTCTTTTTAAATTATTATGGGAGACTTTAGAGGAAGAAGGGTGACCTCATGCAATCTTGTTATATATTTTTCATACTTTTATTTTTTAAACAAATTTTAAACTTTATTAAAATTTACAACATTTTGTAATTCATTTGACAGTTGTTCTTAATTGAAACATGAAAATACATTCTTAAAAAAATTTTTTATGCAAAGTTCTTACAATTTTCCATCAAGACATACAATTCTTAATACACTTAAGTATCAGATAACATAACATTAATACCAGGTTTCTTCTTTATAGTGTTGTTGAACAATTTGAGCCCTTGTTCCTTAAGGATAGCTGTCAGATTGAACATACATTGACCTTGAGCAATGACTTGAGTGAATTTACAAATTAATGTCATTCTGTATGATGTGATGAACACATAAAATTTAATTTTAAAAACTTAATTTTTAGAAAGTCTTTGATGACTAGTAGTAATTCCAAACTACTAAATAATTTTGTAAGAATTTAAAAAACAATCTCTATTTCCTATATATGACATTTGTCACCTGTCACTTTTGAAAAATCGTTTAAAAGGACCGACATTTGATTTCACT